CGGGATCTGCAGACATAGACCGTGACAGACGCCGCTGCGCTTGATATCGTGAAGTTGACGCTGCTTTACGAATATCACCAGTGGAATGATATATATGTATATGCCGCTTCTCTGACCGGTGTCCGACATTGTGGCGTGGCACCTCAGTAGCTCCACGCAACTCCCCCATTGAACGAGAAGTATGCAATTGCTGTTTCACAGCCCGCCGACGGGGGTTACATGAGGGATTGCGATGAGGGGGATTGCGAGACATGGGACTCTGAGCGATAGTGACGTGTGTCTCGTCACGAGAAGGTGGTAGATGAGGACGATTCTCTTGACTAGCCTGCAGAGACGAATTAGATGGACGTTGGATAACTTCGCGAGAAGGTGGATAACGTGGGTGATTATCTTGACTAGGGCGCATGGATGAATTAGAGGGACGTTGAGCAACTACGTGAGATGGGTCGTAAGGGAATGGGCTAATCTGCGGGCGGAACTTTGCAGCAGGAGACAGCGTCATCAGGGAGGAGGATGAAAGCGAATTGTTGCGTGATGATATATCCAACACAGGGAATAGGGTTGACTTGCGAAGCGAAGGGGGCAACGACGATGATAAAGTGTCAGACGGGGGTGAAAATGAAAACGCTCTTGGGATAGTATCTTGTCCATCTATCACACCTCTTGACCGACGCGAGCGACAAGTGATCAAGAGAAAAACCATCCCAGCGATGAAGAGCAATCCACCAACAGACGAGCACACCGCAATGATGATGATGGCTCGATTGCCCAACCCGTTTGAGTTCGAGTCAACGCTAAGCAATTCGACATCATTAGCAGGTTGCATAAACCCTCCGCAATATGTATTGTCTAAGTGTTTTATGTTGACTATCTGGGTTGACTTGCCATAAGCACCTCTTCTGTGAGAGGGGGGGTGAAAGTGGTGATAAGACACAATGGAGGCACTCTTGAAATAAAGAAAGACTCACGAGTCGCTGATGGCCGCTGTCAGCGCGGAGGAACAGAACGAAAGACAACATTAGGACATGACTCGCAATCAGCCGAATCAGAAAAAGGACGCCCACCTAGTACCCTCTTATCCGGTAGCGAAGTATTAATATAAGAGAATAAGCCCACGCCCTGCGGTACCGTATAATTGGTAATGGCAGTGGAGCCTGCGACTACCATACTGATCGTGTATGGTGGTGAGCCTCCAGATACATACAAACCCCAGGTTTGACAAGTGCCTAGGGTATCAGTGATATTGGGTACAATCGTTGGTGGAGATAGTGGCGCTGGCGATGGGGCTAAACAAGACTGCGACTTTCCTCCTGGTCGATCGCTTGAAATTCGATACAAGGCAGTACAGCAACACTGTTCGACATACCGGCAACAGTGAATATAGTGTCCAGCACTCCTCCAGAATTACCCTCTGCGTCGAACATACTGAGCACCAATTCGGACCCTAATGAATATGAGCCTCTGAGATTTATAAGTTCCGTTGGGAAGAAGGTACCTGCTTTATGATTGACTTGCCATCTGAGCCATTGTGAATCCATGTATAACTCTGTTGTGGTGACTAGACCTCCAGATTCGAATGCTGAGAGATAATATGGCGCCTTTCCTGCTGCCGCAGCAGAAACGTTCGTGAGCGAGGAAATGTTAATATTCATTACATCACACTCTATGAGAGTGTTGAAGTCATCGTTAGTTTTTGACTGTCGTTTTACTGTGAGCTTCATGACTTGCAAGGTATAATGCTATTACACACCGTATCCGTAAATGTCCACATGAATGCTCGGTCTGCTGAAGCACAACACGAACTGCAGAAGAGCAGAGCATGGAGCAGAACGGCAGGTCGTAGGCCAAGGGTATGCATCTAGCCACAGCTGATTGGGAGAAAGAAGAAGAAGAAGACTCCAAGGACCAGCCTCGGGAGGTCCGCAGGATTGCTTAATGAAGGTAGAACCAGGTCGAGACGCCCGCGACGACAGAAAATAGTAAGATTCCAACAAGGCAGATAACTAATACTCGGAGACAGCCTCCGACGGGACTGCACAATGCACTGAGATTGCCGGTGAAGGAAGTTGTTGTGAGTGGCCAATCAAGATTATTGCACAGCACCAGCATCAGCACCGACTTGGTGCCATAATAATCTCCCTTGGCATAGCCTCCAGTCTGATGAAATGTTGATACTGGTAACATTGTTACTATGTCCCTTAGCAATCTGTATATATCTCAGTCCTGTGCGGCACGACTGAGCTGGAGTTTCATGACAAGACGAGGATAATGCACATACCACCGTACCATATACCGACTCCCCCGCGATACAAAGACCCTGAAAGTACATCCAGGATATAGCGCCTGTCAGATATCTGTAAGGGCTGTGTCGGCGTAAGTTGCAACAGATGGATGATGAACAAAAGAAGAACTTGAAGACTGGCCCTTATTTTGGACATTCTCCTACGCGCACCCTCGCGGCAAAGCCGAAACCTCTTCACGTGACCTCCATCGCGTGAATTGAGTAGCCATTTAGATGACCGGCGCGCCTTAGGATCTGTGCTTTTCCGCCCCCCAGAGGAGAATCATACCATTCTGCTGAAGCTATCTCCGTTAGTGACGCTTAAGGATTGTGCGCGTTATACTACTAGTGTAGAAAGACATTGATATCACCGGGACACATTCAACTTGTCCTAGTCAATCAGGAGTACGAGTAGAAAGTGCAAGCTCTCCATTAGTATATCGTCAAGCTTCGCCCGACACTGATCAATGCCACTTCCTTCTCGCCCTCTCCGACTTCGCGATACTTCGCCTTCGCTTTCATCACAGATTCTGAGCGACCCTGCGAGTGGTGTGCTTCCTGTACTTGTGTATAACCATCATGACATGCCTTGATTGTGGCTTGTAGGTATTTATGCAGTCACATCGGCAATTTCAGCTGATTGATACTGATGCTCGTCCGCCTTCAGATATGTCCCGCTAACAAAAAAAAAAAAACAGAGTATATTTACTATTTACACGTATAATGCATGCATGAGTCCACCAGTCGACCACGATTGACATAAACTACAAACAATCCTTCTTCATATCGTACAGCACAGCCCAGGCGGCAGGGCAGATCATGCTCGGCAGGATTACCATATTTCTCTATCAGAGCTGTGAGAGAACGATCTCGGCTGCAGTGTTTTTGACAGAGCTCGGCTCCTCCTCCACGGCAAGGAAGTCAACTCTTTCATCTTGCGCTACAATGACATATCGCTGCGGAAAGCAGGCATATCAGATTGGAATCTGCAAAGATCTTGTATTTCATCACACACCTTGGATCGTGGAGCACCGAGAAGAGGGGATGCATCAAAGATCAAACCAAGGCTTCCTGTGAATGAACCTTTATCGTCGGCAATAAATCGGACACCTACAAAGCATGAGATAAGGAAGCGGTTATGTATAACATGAGGAAAG